TTTAAACGACACAATAAATTTAATTACAATAAATAAAAACATTTAACATATAAACTACTATAAAATATATCAAACAAGAAAAGGAAAATGACAAAATGACAATCTGATGATCTGTCATCTTCTGGGTGTTGCAGAAAGACTTTGCGAGAAAACTTTGTGACTTCACTTTAGTCCAATTCTTCAGCTTATTTTTGTGAAGGCTTGTACCAGTATGGTGAGTAAAATTAATTCATACTGTCCATGCTTTACTTCTGGCGTTTAATTGAAAGCAAAAAAAGATCAGTAATTAAAGCAAGTGCTTGAAATTTGAACTAAAAAATTAATGTGACAAATTTAAAACTATAGCAATGATAAAAATTTGGACACCCTACTTACCTTTTTACAGAACACTGAAAAAACAGATTAAGAATTTTCACCTAACACTAGTTCGGGATACTTTCTTATTTAGCCGTTAACACCTGCACAAACTTTTGACATTTTGAACGCGAAGTTCACTTGTTAAATTAAGAATATATAGGAATCAACGAAATGTCTTCAGTTCAGATTAGGATGTATTAATTATTGGTTTTTCCACGTAAAGATTCTACCGAAATGTCTTGGTATTTACTTAATAAAGGTACAATTTGAAAATTTTAGAAAAATATGCATAAATATGCAGTAAGTAAATGTGCAGTAAGATTGAAAAATATGCAAAATATGCAATTTTTTAAGTCCATTATTTTAAAAACAAGCCACAGTTTAATTATAAAATTAATAACATTAGAAAACAACTAGGTCAAATAACACAGTACCTTAGAGGAGTTAAAACACTACATACATGTCATGGTATGCATTCGATACTGACCAACAATAATTTTCATCAAACTGATTATGGTGAGTACAACACACCACTATCCCAAATTAAAGATACCCTATTACAAAAGCTTTTCTTATATAGCAAAAGACTTAAAAGATACAATCACATCTCAGAAAAATTCATAACACAAAATTTTTAAACAACGAAAAACTATTCTATCAACATTTAACTAATTCAAGCAAAACTCAATTATCCGGTGAACTTCCAAGTTCACAGGATGTAACAACATTTTGGTCAAAACTTTGGTCTCAAGAATTTGACTTTAACCAATCTGCCAAATGGATTCCTCATATATCCCATAAACTATCCACAGTTACACCAATGAATGATCATCAGATAACACTTGCCGAATTAATAAATACCATCAATAAGACACACAACTGGAAATCACCAGGACCAGACAAAATCCATAATTTTTTGATAAAAAAATTAAATTGTGTACATATTCATTTACTACATCACTTAAATCAATTCCTTCTTGACCCATCCTCATTTCCAACATTCTTATGTCATGGTGTAACATACCTAAAACCTAAAGATAACGACACAAAAAATCCATCAAAATGTAGACCTATCACATGTTTACCGACAATCTATAAAATATTAACCTCATGCATTACACAAAAAATCTATCAACACTGTTTTAACTCTGACATCATTAATGAAGAACAGAAAGGATGTATTAAAGGATCCTTTGGTTGCAAAGAGCAATTAATCATAGATTCCATCATCTGTGAACAAGCTAGAAAAGAAAACCGAAACATATATACTGCTTTTATTGATTATAAGAAAGCTTAAGATTATGTCCCTCATTCCTGGCTATGCAAAATTCTGGAATTATACAAAATTGATACTAAAATCTGCACTTTTCTCAAATGTTCTATGGAATTTTGGAAGACCACCCTCCAAATAACCTTAAATGAATAAACAATTCACTCAGATCCAATAATCATCCGAAGAGGAATTTTTCAAGGCGATTCTCTTAGCCCGTTATGGTTCTGCTTAGCAATAAATCCCCTCTCCGATATCCTGAACAGCTGCAATTATGGGTTCAATATAAGAATTAACAAACAAAGAGAAAACAGAATAAGTCACTTGCTGTATATGGATGACATAAAAATATATGCAAGTACACAAAATCAGTTAACAAACCCATTAAATCTGACTAAATAATTTTCCGGTGATATTGGTATGTGTTTTGGTATTGAGAAATGTGAGACCCAAGCAATCAGAAAAGGCGTCCAACACCAAGTACCACATATAACCCAGAATAACGAAATAATCGAAGCCCAAGAACGAAATGGTACATACAAATATCTGGGTTTCTGTCAATCTTCCCACATCAATCATACCAAAACGAAAACACGGTTGAAAGATCAATACCTAGCGAGATTAAAATTAATATTGAAGACACAGTTAAATGGAAAAAAATGAATGAAAGCAGTAAATACATTCTGCGTTCCACTGCTAACATATTCTTTTGGAGTCATTAAATGGTCCAAAACTGATCTTGAAAATTTAAACATCTCAACAAGGAAAATCTTCACGCAGTATAGAAGCCATCATCCAAAATCGTCGATTGAAAGATTCTCATTACCAAGACAGAATGGAGGAAGGGGTTTCCAGAACCTAGAAAACTTATATCAGAGACAAATCTCAGATTTGAAAAAGTATTTCTTGAAACGAGCGGAAAGAAATGAAATGTTTCGCATCATCACAAGAGCAGATTTGAACCACACACCCTTAAATCTGTCGAACACCGAAGAAATCCACACCCCCCACACAATAGACAAAATAATAAGTGGGCTAAAACAAAAACAACTACATGGAAAATTCTACAAAGACTTAGAAGAAACTCATATCAACAAGAAGATGTCATTGATTTGGTTAAAAAAATCAAGTTTGTATGCCGAAACAGAAGGATTTGTGTTTGCTATTCAAGATCAAGTAATCAATACCAAGAATTACAGAAAATACATCATCAAAGATCCGAATATAAGAAACGACTGCTGTCGCCTCTGCAAAGCAAAACCTAAAACGATCCAGCACATAATCTCCTCCTGCAGCATCCTGGCACAAACTGACTACAAACCTAGACACGACAACGCAGCCAAAATCATTCACAAAGAATTAGCAACATTTATGAACTTAATCGAAGATACGACACCCTATTACACTTACATTCCATCTCCGTTCCTTGAAAATAACAAATACAAATTATACTGGGATCGCACAATACTTACAGACTTATTACACATTACAGCTAACAGACCAGACATCATACTTATCAAAAAACACACGAACGAAGCCATTGTGATTGACATTGCTATTCCTAACACAAACAACATTACTGAAACATACCACACCAAGATTTCAAAATATCTACAATTATCGATAGAAATGAAATCCATATTGAATCTTAAAAAAATTTCAATTCTACCCTTGGTTATCTCTAATGTAGGTGTAGTCCCAAATAGCTTAGTTGAGAATTTAAAGTCTTTGCATTTGAATGATTCAATAATTGTCAAAATTCAAAAAGCTGTTTTGTTAGGAACATGTCATATTGTTCGTAAGTTTCTCGAATAGTCTGATCATGTCAGTCAGATTAGATTAGCACCAGTAGGTCAGAGTAGTGTAGGTCACTTTCCAAGTGATGCGCGGATAAATGATCAGTGGTTACGCTAGACTTTTGGGGATGGAGTGAGATTAGAGAATAATAGACTAATTTGTATGCTGTAATTCTAGAATCTCGAAAGTTGTTTTGTTAATCTAATCAATGCATATCATTACTTGGTCTTAGTACCCGTAATGATAGAAGTCTTGCCTGAATGCCGGTCATTTCCGGGTCAGCGGTGGGTCCTAATAATAAAATAAAAATAATAAGAAAAAAGCAAAGACCCCTTCAACGCAGAAAATTCAACAATTCATAACTTAAAATTTGTCTATAAACCTTTTTTCCGTATGTTTCGGGGTCAATAATTTCTAGTAGCATAGCATTTAAATAAAAAATTTCTAATTCAATTGCCATATGTTTATACCAGAATCTCTCTCAATCTCTTTCAATGAAAAAATATTCTAAATCTAGGTCAGTGTAGATGAGAAAATCACACCATTTTGTCTTAATTTGATGCAGTTGACCTTGCACCTGGTACATATAGTTGTGTTTAGGGTTCAAAATAATTATATTATCTGCATTTATTGTACAATAATGAATGATTTTGTTTTTAATAGTTTCTTTAATATTTTTATCGCAAGCCGCATATGAACATTTAATCTAAAGTAAGTCTAAAGTAGTGCCAATAATAATTAGTGTAATTTTTAAATAATAGTTTTTCTACACCACATTTTTAATATGTTGGTGTAGAACGATGCATACAATTTACTAATAGGTAGATTACATACTTCCAAACAGTGTAATGTGAGAAACTATAATAGCGAACTAAGTTTAGATGCCGGAAGAATGTATAATAAAAACAGGGGACATAAAATCGAGTTAAAAGTTGTGTCTAAATTCTGCAAGGAAGAGGCAAAAGTCTGTATATATTTAGTTTTGTAAATTGTAATTTGTGTATATTTATTGCATAAATTACAATTCACAATACTAATATTATTAGACTTATAAGTATTGTGCAACAGGCCCCAGCTGTTGCTATTGTAAAGGGATTGTTGATTTCTGAGACATACTCAGCAGGGTTCGTTTGATAGGTAGTTGGGTAGTTAGGTACTACAAGTTGCACATCTCTTAAAATAGAAATTTCCTTGAGGTGTGGTGGAGCCTTAAAGGCATCTTAGTCATCGGAAAAAATAAATCTTTATACGATTATTAGTTTTGTTTGTAGATTTAAAGAAATTTTGCACTATCATTGGTTCATATACCTGTCGAGAAATCAATAAAAAACACGACTTTTGAAAATTTATCTTTGGTAGAACTTTCGTCTTATCAGATTACAGTTGGTTTAAAAGTTGCAGTTGAAAATGCTCCTTCAAAAGTCCATGGCTGTTTTTGATCGTGTTTTGATTTACTCTCTCGGCTATATTTTTATTAAATACATTTTGTGATCTTTATTTCATTTACTGCACTTAATAATGATTATACACTAATTAACAACTCTGAGCTGAGTTAAGTTACAAACAACAAATAGTTTGTTAAAATGTATAGACAGAAAATGGTTTGTGATAGCTGGATTCTGCCTGGACGTGATTTGATGTCGAAAGGTGCTGACAATTATTCTGATTGGGTTGAGTTTCCTGGACTATTGAATTTGTACTTCCCCTTTAGCTAAGAAACCATACAGAACAGATGCAACTGCAAGTATCACACTTATTGTGTTAAACACTATCTGCCATTGATTCACTGACTATAAATATAAACTTCATTACAAGATTTTTACAATCTGAAAACGTATCTACCTCTCCGGTTACAATGTAACCGGTAAGAGTAGTAACAAAAATTCCTGCAGTAGTGTCCATAGTATTGGTAAATCCTGCAAGGACACCAGCATGTTGAGGCGCTATATCAAGAATGTTCACTCTACAACAAACACCAAAACAAAATACATACTTAATTTTTCTTTTTTTAATACCTATATCCTGACTGAGAACACACACCTATAGCAACACTTACAGTCAGACAAAGTATGGTTCCTACAAATGAAGAAACATAATTTGTAACTACTAGAAGCATTGCTTCAGCTATAAATGCACCACAGGTGAAAATTTTTCTAACTTGGACTGTAGTGAATATCTGCTTCTTTAGTAACCAGTCCGCTGTTTTGCCCGAAAGTAGATTCATGACAGTTTTCGCCAAATGTGGTAATGCGGAAAATAATCCAGTCTTTGAAATACTATTATTGAATTTATCTGAAGCAGAATTGTTAGTGGTATGTTCCGCTACTCTTCTTTTACTTGTTACCATTTAGATAAGTTGGAAGTTCTGTTAAAATTATATAAGTAATACAATAATCTGCAAAACCCGCTGCGATGATAGACCAGACTGGAACTGACGTTAAAATTGCTTTCCACGGTATGTTTACATTGTGTCTAGTTTGAGCATTTCCTACAGACTTTTGAATGTACTCTAATTCAAGTACGGAAATTTTCTTATCATCAGCTGGTGTTTCTCCGATAAACGACAACCAAAGAATGAACCAAATTAAAGTAATGATACCAAAGACGTAAAAAGGAGTAGGCCATCCAAATGTATCTGTCAGCCAAGCACTTGCTACTATTGAAACAATAGTACCCACGTGAGTACCGGTTAAAGCTATTGTTACTACCGTTGTACGTTCTAAAGGTGGTACCCAATTAGACCACATTGCGTTTATACCGGGATGAGTAAGTCCCTCGAACATTCCTTGAAGAATTCGAACAAATATTAGGAGATATACGCTAATTCCAGACGACAATGGGATCAAGGAATTAAGAATTCCTGTCCCAATGATTGCAACTCCGAAGACATGTTTTCCTCCAAATTTAGTGGACAGCCAGCCTCCAAAAATAGGAGTTGCCGTGTATCCATAGAAGTTGGAGCTTAGTATATAACCTCGAAGTTTTGAATTCCAGTCAAATTCTGGTTCCTGTGTTAGGTAGAAGCATTTATTTTTTATGTAAAATTTGGCTATAAGCATTGGCTTACTTCGAATACTGTTATGTTACCCAAAACAGTAGTCTTAGTTGTTGTCATTGCCACAATAGCTACACTTAGACATGTTCTAAAAGCATAAACATTGAAGAAACCATAAGATGCCAGAACGGCAACTACAATTCTTCTTTTCATCCAGAACATTTGTTTGGGGTTATCGTCTAAAATAAAATAAAACATATATAGAATTTAATAACATACGAGTACCAAGTGATAACGAACTCTAGTCTATTACTATACTATATACTACTTTGTTTGATATAATTTTTCTTCTTTTGACATCATAAAAAGAAATTGGTGCACATTGATGTCTTAATACAACATCTAGTTAATTTTAAATTGATTGCTTCTCTTCTTGAAAGCTGCTCGTCAGCACAGCTTTACCAAATTTTTTCAAGCTTTGAAAGATTAAACCAAATTTACAACATTTTTTCCTGATTTTTCCCACAAACAGAAATATCTTATTCTACAAATTTTTTACTACATCTACTAGGATTTTGGAGGCGATGTAATAGATATTATAAGTTACAGCAACAAATTTTGCTTTAGCACGAGGTGCTCCAAACGAATGTTAGTTAGGTGGATAATGATAAAAAATACAACATTTCTAATCATTTCAACGAGGAATGCGACTCCCGTAAAGCTGGAGGATTTGAGACAAATTAAAGTGAACTTTACCTACCTACTTGTATTGTTATTTAGAACTATATTTAACAAAACGTACACGTGCGAGTACTTAGCCAGTTTGTAACATTTTAATGATACCCTTACATATCGCTAGGTTTTGAAGTTACTGTCAAACGAACCTTTACTACGAAAATAGTATTAAAAAAAGCCTGCTGGTGTTGATAACAACGACTTATACAGGTATTTATGATAGTACGGTGTACAGACAACAGTTTTTGGTAGAGCACAATAGATAAAGCATATAGGTATGCACTAAAAATTGGTCGAAGATTTTTTTTGACAGAAATTTGCTCACCCATAAAGTGTAGTGTACCAGTTCTTTGGAAAAATTATATATATTTTTTCATTATATATTTGATTTTACCGATTTACTTTTTTATGATAACATTGATAACCCTTATAAGTTAAAATAAAGATATATCTGTAATATTTAAGTATAGCTAAAACACATGTTACGCGTTTCAGTTAAAAAACAATGGATAATAGGCATTTTTAAACAATTATAATTTGAGTATTTAATAAGCATAGTCAATGTAATCAAATTTAAAATTCATATTTGAATAAGTAATCATTAAGTTTTAACTTTAATAACCCGTACCCACATTTTTGGTTATATTATACAGGGTTGCCAAAAAATATGGAAGCAGTTGAATATCTCGGGAACGGTTAGTTGAATCTTAGGCTCAATTTTCTATAATTTTTATTTCCCGAGCGTAAGCAAAGCAAGTATTGTAATCGAGTCCGTCGGCCGACTCTCTACTTTGACATTTTCTCCACCTTACATGATCCCTATAAAATGAAGAAATAGGTCTCCCGTTTCCGTCTGTCTGTCCGCTTCTGTACCGGATTTTTATTAGACAGATAATCTCCGAAACTACGAGGCCGATTGTTGTCAAATTTTGTATTTATATTAGGAATATCATGTAGATAGTAAAACGCTAACCAAAATTTGTCTAGTCATCCCCACGACTAGTGTAATGAGCTAGGCTTTGAATCTTAGGTTTTTTGCCTTTTTATATCTATTTCAGGCATTGCAGCGAAATTTATATATTTATCCGAATTTAAAAAATTCTGTTTATTTAACGCCCATTTATTACTACCTAAAATGCCTAATTTACCGTTAGAGGCCTAAAGTGTTAATTAAACGACTTAATTGTAAATTTTAAAAGGTTTAAAATAGGATTCCACGACCAACGAAGGGGACGTGCTTGCACAATAGAGATTTTCCCTGAATTCATTGCTTTGGCTGGCAGATTGTTTAAAAATGGGTTGTAAACAACGCCCTTGAGTTTAATGGTACGGGTTGGTGTCGCCAACGGACAACGCTGGCCTGCATTTCGTTTAGATTACAGCCGGAAGGAGGTGAATCTCTGAAAAAGCATTTTATTTTAGAAGTTTATTGTTAGCGATACTGAGTGTCTTTACGTGTTAGTGAGTGTGCTGGGGCCGGTTTTGATTTTTGTGCATACAGTAAAGAATCCTCAAAATGCCTAAGGTAAAATCATCCATGAAAGATAAAATCAAATTATGGTTAGGGAATAATTTGGACACTAATTTTCAATTTCCTTCTTCAACCAAAGACAATGAGTTATTCTGCAAAGTGTGTGAAAAAGTTGTAAGTAAACATTTAGAATACTGAAGCTTGAATTATGTTCACATTTTTGTTTCCTAGTTTAAGTGCGAAAAAAAATCACACTTTGAACAACACTGCAGTGGCGATGCACATAAAAAGAACGAGAATAAATCCAGTAAACAGATTTTATTAAACATTCGTTCCGAAAATGATTTTACGCAAATTTGCACCGATTTATGGAGGGCATTTACCGCAGCAAATATTCCATGGAATAAAGTTAGTTGTCTTGAGTTTAAAAATTTTATGCATAAATATACAGGAAGGCATTTACCCTCAGAAAACACTCTGAGAAAAAAATATTTACCAAAAGATTACGATATGGTAAGCACTAGAATTATTATTTAAAAACTTTTTAACATAAATTTTATAATTTACAGCTAATTAAACAAACTAGAAATTCTATTGGCAATAACAATATTTGGATTAGCGTCGATGAGACGACGGACAGATTAGGAAGATACATAGCCCATTTAGTAATTGGAAAGTTATCTTCTGAAGAAGCTGACCATTCATTCTACTAGCTTTGAAGCAGCTTGATAAAACTAGTAGCAACACAATCTCGAGATTTTTAAACGAATCATTGGGTGTGCTATTGATAATTTTAGGCATTGAAATTATTATAATTTATTTAATTGTTAATTTGTAGCTTTATTGTCGCCAAAAGGAACTGAACACAAAAAAGTTAAATGGTTTGTATCAGATGGTGCTTCATCCATGGTCAAAAGTGGTACTAGTTTGAAGGTGTTTTATGAAAATATAACACATTTAACATGTATGGCACATGGGTTACATTTAGTGTCTGAAACAATTAGACTGAATTATCCAGATGTCAATGGGATAATTAGGAATGTTAAGAAAATCTTTTTAAAAGCACCAATAAGAGTAGAGTTTTATAAACACACCTCTCCCACCTAAACCTGTATTAACCAGGTGGGGCACTTGGATTCAAGCAGCATTCTTTTATGCAGAATGCTTTGATGTTTTAAAACAAGTCAGTAAATATATAATGGTTTTTTACTATCATTCTTATATTGAATATTTTTAGGTTGTACTGTCATTTGAAGCCACAGATGCACAAAGCATTAAAGAAGATCAAGAATTCCTGAATAAAGCAAACGTTAAAAAGGAACTCTTGTACATTAAAACTCACTTTAAAATTATTGCTGATGCAATAGAACAATAAAAAACTATAGGTTTAAAATTAAACCAAAGTATGGAAATTGTGGAAAAAGTGTATACATCTTTAAAAAACACACCAGGAAAGGTGGGGGAAATGGCGTTCCAAAAATTATGTTCTCTATTAAAAAAGAATCCAGGATACGATTTTATATGTTCATTAAATAACGTAATTTGCGGTAATGGAAATGCTACCAACAATACATACATAAATGAAAACGTAGAGTTCAATATTTAATTTTGCACCCATCAATTCTTGTGATGTGGAACGCACGTTTTGAAAACTTAAGTGTTTTAAGCGATCAAAGGTGTAAATTTACAATCGAAAATTTAGAGAAATATATAGTTTGCTTTTGTAACACATTTTAAATACCTGAATTAATATTTTATTTTTTGTTAAATGCGACTTGCTTTAATTTGATCACCACTTTTTGCGGTAAGAATTAGTGGACGTAACTACAGATCGTTTATTTATTTAATCATTTTTTTGTTTTTTACACAAAATATTTGTTTCTATAATGTTTTGTTTAATGTGTTTTGTTTTGAATATATATTTTTTTGTTGTATGCTTTTTCGTTGAGCAAATATTTTTTCCTCCAGGTTTTTAACCTAAACTATGATTTTTATAACCTAATTCGTCAATTTTGGGACCTAAAAAAGTCTCCTTTTATTCATTTTTTAAGGATCTAAAATCCGAAGCCTAGACTGATGACGGCACTTCAAAATTGTACAAAGTAAATAGGTTTTAAATTGTATAAAATAACATAGTCCTACACATGTAGTTTACGACTCCGTATTGAGTTTTTACCCGAAACGTCCAGATTTTTGGGAAAAAATCAAAAATATGAAACAACATTTTGCAGTTTAATTTGGAATCTGCAAAACCGAATGCTTTGAAATCTTGCAGATGGTTTACAGTTATGATAAGCATGATAAATTTTTAATCAAAATATATTTAGTTATCCCCTCCAAAAAATTGATGACATCAGCTCACTACTTGAGATAATTTATTGGCTTTGTCCTAAATTGGCTTCGGTCATAGAAGTTATTCTCGGTTGATATCAATCTTATGTTGTTAGTAACCATTTTGGTTACACTGCAGATATATATACCACGCTTAACCAGAAAATGGTTTATGATATGAAAATTATTTTTTTTTCCACATATGATTTGCTGTTGAAAGTATCTGAACGATAATTTGGGCGGATTGAGTTTACAGGACAGTCCAGGACTGTACTTCTCCTTTGGCAAATAAACCATACAGAACAGCCGCAACTACAAGTATCACACTAGTTGTATTAAACACTATCTGCCATTGGTTCACCGACTGTAAATAAAATATCTATTAATCGGTTTTTACAATTTCAAAACGTACCCTACAGTGTAACCGATAAGAATAGTGCCAAAAATTCCTGCTACACTACCGGTAGTATTGCTGAATCCTACGAGAACACCAGCATATTGGGGAGCTACATCAAGAATGTTAACTCTACAACAAACACCAAAACAACATACACGTTACATTTATATTTAGTTTTTAAATACCCATATCCTGAGTACGAGCACATTCCTACCCCCACACTTATAGTCAGACAAACTATGGTTCCTATAAGTGAAGAAACATAATTTGCGACAACTAAAAACATCGCTTGGGCCACAAATGCACCGCAGGTGAACATTTTTCTAACTTGGACTTTATTGAAGATCTGTTTCTTTATTAACCAGTCCGCTGTTTTGCCCGAAAATAGATTCATAATAAACTTTGCTAAGTGTGGCAAAGCGGAAAGGAATCCAGTTTCTGTAAGACTATAACCAAATTTATCTGAAATAAAATTGCCGTGGTATGTTCTGCTACTCTGGATCTTTTGTGTGTTACTATTGAGATATGTTGGAAGTTCTGTTAAAATTATATAACTAATCCAGCAATCTGCAAAACCAGCTACGATGATAGACCAAACTGGAAATGACGTTAAAATTGCTTTCCACGGTATTCTTGCGTTGCGTCTAGCTTGACCATTTCCTATTGAGTTTTGAATGTACTGTATTTCAAATACGGAAATTTTCTATTACCGAATAAATGATTATTTTCTACCAACCACAAAGATATTGGAACACTTTACTTCATTTTTGGTGCATGATCCGGAGTCAGGAAATTAAAAATTCCTATCCCAAGTATTGCAACTTCGAAGATACGTTTTCCTCCAAATTTAGTGGACAGCCAGCCTCCAAAAATAGGAGTTGCCGTGTATCCATAGAAATGAGAGCTTATTATATAACCTTGAAGTTTTGAATTCCGATCAAATTCTGGTTCCTGTGTTGGGACGAAGCATTTATTTTTTATGTAAAATTTGGCTATAAGCATTGGCTTACTTCGATTATTGTTATGTTACCCAAAAGAGTAGTCTTATTTGTTGTCATTGCCACAATGTTCTAAAGGCATAAACATTGAAGAAACCATAAGATGCCAGAACAGCAACCACAATTCTTCTTTTCACCCAGAACATTTATTTTGAATTGTGGTCTAAAATAAAATAAAAAATATACAATATTTGACAATACACCCTTAGTTACATTTTGTAATATGGCAACATCTTAAAAAATTTGGTCTAAAGAGTTTAGACACTACTTCCCTCGCTGCTGGAAACATGACGACTGCGTGCCTATTATGTTTTTTTCTCATTACATTTGCGATGACGTCATCAACATTTTTGCAAGGACACGTATATCCGTTTGGATAGATGTAGTGTAATACTAAAAATAAAAGTACAGTATTTCCAAATTTTCGGGAAAATGAATTGGGTCGTCTTGAATATTAATTTATAATCAATAAAATAACGAAACACTTTACTCACGTATGTATAAGCATTCTTAATTTAAGACAACAAGCGGTAACACTTGCTGAGATTGTGGACATGAGAGTCAAACAGAGAAATTGCAAACAATACCGATGGTCGCCCAGATTTTTTAATGCTTCGACTTCCGCTTATTATATATAAAACATTGGATTTTATTTTAATTTTTGACGGCGTAATTCACAATTGATTGATTATAACTTGTCTATAGGTACTACTAATAATAATAGCGTTGTATCTCCAAATTTTCGTGAAAATGAAGTGAGCTATTCCTGATTTAATCAATAAAATAAATTGTGTCATTCATTAATTTTTTTGAGCCAACTGTTTAAGCAAATCCAAAAAATATCAATGGAATGATAAATCACAAGTACAGACTCATCATATTTTGTACATTTTAGATAGGATTTATTCGGGAAACATTTGATCATCAATTTTTGGAGTGGACAAGTAAATCCATTTTGAATAAAAATTTATCATGCTTATCATAACTGCAAATGATCTGCAAGATTTCAAAGTATTCGGTTTTGCAGATTCCAAATTAAATTGCAAAATGTTGTTTCATAATTGGACGTTTTGGGTAAAAACTCAATTCAGAGTCATAAACTGCATGTGTAGGAGTATGTTATTTTATACAATTTAAAACCCATTATTTTACTGTGTACAATTTTGAAATGATGTCATCACATTATTGGTGAGGATGATTAGACAAATTTTGTTTAGCGTTTTACCATCTACATGATATTCCTAATATAAATACAAAATTTCACAACAATCGGTCGAGTACTTTCGGAGATTATCAGTCTACTAAAAATCCGGAACGGCAGACAGACGGAAACGAGGAACCTATTTGTTCGTCTTCTAGGGGTCAGGAAAGGTCGAGAAATTGTAAAAGTAGAGAGTCGGTCGGATTTGCTTACGCTCGGGAAGTAAAAAAATCACTTAAACACTTTTCTGGAGCTACTCTCTTATAAATATATATTTAGGATCCATACTTAGTGTGTTTTTTTCAAGTTCAAAATATGTATATTACAAAATTCATCTTTATGGAATAAACTTGCGTTCTTGGAAACAAATTATAGCTTTATTTTTAAATCCATACGCAACATCGAAAAACAAATTATGCCTTTAGCAGATTCAACTTAATATGTAAAAGAATAAAAAAAAAAATCGAATCAATATAGCTGGCACTTAAATAGAATTTGAATATAGTTGTTGAGATTTACTCATTTAATTCTGCAGTAAATATCAACTGTTACCAAAAATTAGCATTTTCGACGTAGGTATATTACAAAATTTTGACTATGAGTGGTAATAAAAATCATATGCTTGTTTTTCTATTAATTCTACAAAATAAATAGCTAACATTTGTACTTTGACAGCTGCATCAAAAAATATTTAATAAATAATATTTTCATAAACGTTTTATTATGATATCTAAATATATCTATGCTTGTTTAATGTTTGACGATCAACATTATTAAAATCCTTCAGAATCTGAATTTTCTATTATACTTATTAGTAGTATTTGTTTTGCATAAAGTGTTTCCATTTGGTTTCTAATTTTGTAAAAAACGACAGTTCCGTCTGGCTTTTTGATATCTTTTAAATTTGCATACATACATTACATTTTTACTGTTGGAAATGTAGTATTTATTGCTTCGTTTGCGTTCTTCGTGTTTTTTCTCGGTGTCACAAGATGTAGTTAGGGGATATATAAATTTTGCAATAAATAATTAATTTTTTTAGATCTCTGAAAGTCTTCATTTTTTGGGTAAATCGTGCCAATACAAAAAATTTTGTGTGATATTTATTCTTCAAAAAATTGACAAGTTTTTCACAACCAACGGAAGCTCTGCTAATTCCCTTATGGATTTTGTACACAATCAGTACGACTACACAATAGATGTAGTTCTAGCAGACATTGAAAAAACATTTAAATTACTTTTCTTACCTAACTTATTATTGAGAATAATACTTAACGAAATGCACATGCACTTATGCAATTTACACTAATACACCACATATCACTAGGTTTTTAAATGAAGTACTTTCAAACGACCGTTTGCTATGAAAATCGTGCTGAAATAAGTATATGTACATAACTGTCGTGTTGATAACAAAAACATACGCTATTTCATTGGTTCTAATGAGTCAAAACAAAAAGAATTAGTTGAAGGCTATTCGACAGAACTTCCCTCGTCCCTAAAGTATAGTCCGTCAAATCCCTCTTCTGTGAAAAATTATGTGGTTTGAATTAAAACTTCGCTCTCAGAGAAATTGAATTTGAAAAATAAATTAAGACAACCTTTAAACATAGGTAACCACGTGCAGAGAACTTCGATTGGCGTTATTTTTGTTTAGTTGTTTGTAAATCCACAGTTCATGTTAAGATTATTAACTGTTCCTTGTTCTAACACAATTTAACAATCATGAACTTGTTCATATAAACCACGTGTTACGAAATTCACTTATTCAGATTTTACTCTTTCGTTATCAAGTTAAAAGTAAACTTTCTTGCAGATTTTACTTAAGTATTATACATTATAACACATTTCTTAACTTTTCACTCGAGATTGTTAATAATTCATTTGTGGTATTTAAACAAACGTTCATTCATTTCGAGAAAAAGAACCTTGAAAAGTTGTGCTGACATTCATACCTTCGTGGACTCGAAAAACGCGAGACCCATATCATTTACATCGTAGTTGGATTTGAAATCACAAACAAATCATCATTTTGGATCTAGTTTTTGTCAATATCCCTTCTAATGCAATAATCCAATTGTAAGTGAAGATGGTCATCATCCAACCTTAAATATTTCCTTTTCTGCAACAAATAATTCTCTTAAAAGTTTTACTATCTGCAATAACACACAAGCCTTTAACTTCAGAAAGGCTAATTTTCCAGTAGGTACTCTATAATCTGATTCTATCTATAAACTGGACCCCGTTGTACGAAGTTCCGTCTGTTGAAATCGCCTGTGACAAGTTTTATGAAATATTGATTAATTTATTCGAAATAACAATTCCGAAATATCGTAATAGCCAAAATTCTCATTCTTATCCACCTTGGTTCAATACAGAAGTCATTAGTTGTCTACGTACGAAATTGTATTATTTTAAAAGGTACAAAAAGTATGGCACTAATAAGTTCTACGACATGTTTAAGCAATACCGTGCCAGATCAAAAGTCTTAATTGATGCGAGTTTTAGGGCATACATTAATAACAAGCAAAACATATTATCAGTTGACCCAAAAAAATGTTGGAGCTTCATTCAGTATAAGAAGGGATGTAGTCGAATTCCTGGAATCATGCAGTACAAGGATGGCGGAGCTGATGGAATTCCAAGTTTCATATTAAAAGATTGTGCAGCAGCAATGACTGAACCTTTAACGTATTTGTTTAATTTAGTTCTTAGTAATGGAAAAATACCACCAGCCTGGAAACAATTTGTCATTTGTCCAGTTCTTAAAAAAGGGGATGCGTCAAATACTGAAAATTATCGCCCAATAACCCTCCTCTGTAACTTTGCTAAAATATTGGAATCTGTAGTATACAACAGAATTTATGCGTCCATTAAATATACTATCTCGTCAGTGCAGCATGGCTTCACGAAGAATCGACCAACTTTAACAAATTTATTATGCATTACACAAGACATTTCAGAGACACTTGATGATAACCGCCAAATGGATGTTATATATACGGATTTTCAAAAGGCGTTTGATATCATTAAACACCAGATACTTCTGGAAAAAATGGGTCTGTATGGATTCTCTGGCCCGCTATTATCACTGTTTCGATCATATTTGATAGACCGTCAGCACCGCCAAATGGATGTTATATATACGGATTTTCAAAAGGCGTTTGATATCATTAATCACCAGATACTTCTGGAAAAAATGGGTTTGTATGGATTCTCTGGCCCGCTATTATCACTGTTTCGATCATATTTGATAGACCGTCAGCACTGCGTAAGATATCATAATTGTTTATCTGAATCAATTGTTTCCACCTCCGGAGTTCCACAGAGATCGAATCTTGGACCATTGCTGTTCTTGTTGTTTATCAATGAATTACCAGTCAATATGTCGTACGTGTGATAAACTGTTGTTCGCAGACGACCTGAAATTGTATTATAATATATCCTCAATAGATGACTGCCGACCTCTTCAAGAAAATGTTAAAACTTTATATCTTTGGTGTCAAACAAACCAAATGACTTCAAATAAACATAAGTGTTACATTATGACATTCTCAAGGCAGAAAAATCCCATTATCTATGACTATAAAATAGCGGGCCACACGATTCAACGAGCGGAATATTTTAAAGACTTAGGAGTTACTTTTGACAACAGACTTACATTCGTGCCACATATAGACGATGTAGTGAGAAGATCACTAAAAACTTTGTCACCTTTATACAATGTGCATATTACTTACTTAGAATCGGTCCAAAGACGTTTTCTAAAATATCTGTCTTTTAAATTGGATGGCATCTGTCCTGATAGAGGTTTGCTTATTAGCTAGATTTAATTTTAATTCTTTACGAACACGTAGGTTGGTGCAGGGCGTCGTCTTTTCGTTCAATCTTTTGCATAACAGAATTGACTGCATCTATATTAACAATAAAATTTCATACTATATCCCAAGGTTTAGCACTCGGTACAGAACGTGTTTTTATTGTGACACTTGCCGGACTAACATTTTAGTAAAATCTCCAATTGTAGTAGTTAAGTGCGACACATTCAGTAAAATATCAATTTGGTGTGATATAAATTTTGACAAAATTAATGTAATTAAAAGAAAGGTTATCTGCGTTTTTGGATTATAATTAGGGTGGAAATGTATAAAAATGGTAGGCTTTTCTTTTCATTCCTATTCTTTTATTTTAAGTTTACTTGTAACTTAGAAAATAAAATCTATTATTACTATTAATATTATTATTTAACGTAAACAGATGCAAAATATTGAGCAAAAGCATTGGCTATCTCTTCCCCACTTTTAACACATTGCTGTCCAAAATTCATTTCGTTGGGGATGTTAGATTCTCCATGTTTTTATTATTAATAAATTTTCATAACAATTTCGGATTACTCATCATACTACGATTGACGTTTGAGATGTATTCGACATATACCTTTTCAGTGAATTCATTGCACAATTTCTCAAAGATTTAAAATAAAGGTAGTCATCAAGTTTGTAGATGTTTTTAATAAACGTGCAATGAGCTGTTGTTTTCAACCGACATAATTCTTTGAGTTTTTACTTCCCGAGCGTAAGCAAAGGAAGTATTGTAATCGAGTCCGTCGGCCGACTCTCTACTTTTACGTTTTCTCGATCTTTCATGACCCCTAGAAGACGAAGAAATAGGTCTCCCATTTCCGTCTGTCTGTCCGTCTGTCCGTCTGTCCGTCCGTCTGTCCGTCTGTCCGTCTGTCCGTCTGTCCGTCTGTCCGTCTGTCCGTCTGTTGTCCCGGATTTTTATTAGACAGATAATCTCCGAAAGTACTCGACCGATTGTTGTGAAATTTTGTACTTATATTAAGAATATCATGTAGATGGTAAAACGCTAACCAAAATTTGTCGAATTATCCCCACCACTAAAGCGATGACGTCACTTCAAAATTGTACATAGTAAATGGGTTTTCAATTGTATAAAATAACATAGTCCTACACATGTAGTTTACAACTCTGAATCGACTTTTCACCCGAAACGTCCAGATTTTTGGAAAAAAAATCAAAATTATAAAACAACATTTTGAAATTTAATTTTTAATCTGCTAAGCAGAATGCTTTGAAATGTTGCAGATGTTTTAAGGCTATAAAGAGCATCATAAATCTTTAGTCAAAAAATATTTGCTTATCTTCTCCAAAAACTTGATGACGTCAGCTCAAAAGTTTGTGGAATAAATCATATCTAAAATGTACAAAATATGATGCATCTGTACTTGTGATATATCACTCCATTCATATTTTTTGGATTTGCATATACAGGGTGACTCAAAAAAATTAATGAATGCGTAAATATATTTTATTGATTTAATCAGGAACTACAAAACCGAATGCTCTGAAATCTTGCAGATGTTTTAAGGTCATAAAGAGCATAATAAATGTTTAGTCAAAATATATTTGCTTATCCCCTCCAAAAACTTGATGACGTCAGCTCGAAAGTTTGCCGAATAAATCATATCTAAAATGTATAAAATATGATGAGCCTGTACTTGTCATTTATCACTCCATTCATATTTTTTGGATTTGCATATACAGAGTGACTCAAAAAAATTAATGAATGCGAAAATATATTTTAACTACAAAACGGAATGCTCTGACATCTTGCAGATGTTTTAAGGTTATAAAGAGCATAATAAATGTTTAGTCAAAATATATTTGCTTATCCCCTCCAAAAACTTGATGACGTCAGCTCGAAAATTTGCCGAATAAATCATATCTAAAATGCACAAAATATGATCAGTCTGTACTTGTGATCTATCACTCCATTCATATTTTTTGGATTTGCATATACAGGGTGATTCAAGAAAATAAATGAAAGCGTAAATTTATTTTACTGATTTACTCAGGAACTACAAAACCGAATGCTTCGAAATCTTGAAGATATTTTAAAATTATCATAAGCATGGTAAATGTTTGATCAAAATGTATTTGGTCGTCCCCCCTAAAAAATTTATGACGTCACCCCAAAATTTTGCTGAAAAAATGCCATCTTCAATGTGTAAAGTATGATGAGTCCATACTTGTGATTTATCACTGCATTAAAATTTTTAATATTTGCTTATACAGGGTGTCTGAAAAAAATTAATGACGGAGTGAATTGATTTTGCAAAACTGAATACTTAGAAATCTTGACGTTTTGAAGTTATTGTAAGCGTGGTAACTGTTTAATCAAAATGTATCTCTTTATCAACCCCAAAAAAAATTCATTACGTCTTCTCACAATTTTGCTGAATAAAGTATATGATCTGACTATACTTTTAAAATTTTTAATATTTGCTTATACAGGGTGTCTGAAAAAAATTAATGACGGAGTGAATTGATTTTGCAAAACTGAATACTTAGAAATCTTGACGTTTTGAAGTTATTGTAAGCATGGTAACTGTTTAATCAAAATGTATCTCTTTATCAACCCCAAAAAAAATTCATTACGTCTTCTCACAATTTTACTGAATAAAGTATATGATCTGACTATACTTGTAAAATTTTTGATATTTGCTTATACAGGGTGTCTGAAAAAAATTAATGACGGAGTGAATTGATTTTGCAAAACTGAATACTTAGAAATCTTGACGTTTTGAAGTTATTGTAAGCATGGTAACTGTTTAATCAAAATGTATCTCTTTATCAACCCAAAAAAAAATTCATTACGTCTTCTCACAATTTTACTGAATAAAGTATATGATCTGACTACACTTGTAACTAATCATTGCATTCAAATTTTTTAACGTGCTTATACAGGGTGACTCAAAAAAAGAAATGAATCAGTCACTTTATTTTAGTGAATAAATCAAGAATTGCTAAACTGAATATTTTGAAATCTTGCAGATGGTTAAAATTGATTGTGAGCATGGTAAATTGTTAATGAAAATATATCTGTTTATTCCCCCGAAAAAATTCATGACGTCATCTACAATTTTTGCCAAAAAAGTTTAACTCAAAATGTGCAAAATATGATGAGTTTTAACATAAGCAACTGTGGTCTGTGGTTTAGTGGAGGTGGAGTGTGCAGTGCAATTAGAAGTTCCGGTAACAGATCCCGGCACTTCCAACTTTTTTCGCCCATCAAATCAAGAACAGCACTTCCGATTTTCGCAACAATAATGTTATAATATTTATTTATTTGTTATTGTGTGTTCGTGAATAAGCACCATAAATAGCAAATGCAATACATGATTAACTTCGACTGTTAATGTTTATACATCGAGAGAAGCAGAGAAAAATTACATATGCATTTGCTTCAGTTACGCCACTGACCGTGTCATTTCTTTATCGCACGTTGAGACATAGTTTATATAAACAAACTCCCAGCCATAGCAAAAAGCGGAAGTTGGTAACGACGAGGGGCGCGGGGGGAATCACTTGTTTGGGTGGCGAGACGAAACAGTTGCGATTGCGAAATGCGAAGCCAATTCGAAAAAAACTGTTGAAGAGTGAGTGTCATTGAGGATATATATCTCCAAATTTTAAAAATTGGACCAAGTTACAATAATTGTTGCCAGGTAAGTGCAGATATTTTGGATTTGCATATACGGGGTGATTCAAGAAAATAAATGAAAGCGTAAATTTATTTTACTGATTTACTCAGGAACTACAAAACCGAATGCTTCGAAATCTTGAAGATATTTTAAAATTATCATAAGCATGGTAAATTTTTGATCAAAACGTATTTGGTCGTCCCCCCTAAAAAATTTAAGACGTCACCACAAAATTTTGCTGAATAAATCCTATCTAAAATGTACAAAATATGGTGAGTCTCTTCTTGTAATTTGTCATTCCATTCAAATTTTTTCGATTTGCATATACAGGGTGACTCAAAAAAATTAATGAATGCGTAAATTTATTTTATTGATTTAATCAGGAACTACAAAACCGAATGCTTTGAAATCTTGCAGATGTTTTAAGGTTATAAAGAGCATAATAAATTTTTAGTCAAAATATATTTGGTTATCTTCTACAAAAAACTGATGACGTCAGCTCAAAAGTTTGCCGAATAAATCGTATCTAAAATGTACAAAATATGATGAGTCTGTACTTGTGATTTATCATTCCATTCATATTTTTGGATTTGCATATGCAGGGTGACTCAAAAAAATTAATGAAGGCGTGAATTTATTTTATCGATTTAATCAGGAATTACAAAACCGAATGCTTTGAAATCTTGGGAATATTCTAAAGTTATTATAAGCATGGTAAACTTTTGTTCAAAATGTATTTGTTCATCCCTCCTAAAAAAATTGATGACGTCACCCTTAAATTTTGCTGAATAAATCCTATCTAAAATGCAAAAAATATGATGAGTTTGTACTTGTGATTTATCATTCCATTCATATTTTTTAGATTTTCTTAAGAAGTGGTTCAAAAAAATTAATGAAGTCAATTTATTTTATTGATTAAATTAAAGGCAACACTTATTATTAGTATTACACCCCAACCAACCCAATTTGCTAGACAAAAAATTTGTGAAAGGAAAAACTCGGTTGAAACATAAGGGTAGCACGCTTATTTACATCGACTTTAACATTACAGACCTGCATTTGTTTTAGTCGTTCACTTGGTTCCGCGAATGTGAAATAGACATGTTTATAATCAACCAATTGTGAATTTCACCGTCAAGAATTAAAATAAAACTCAATGTTTTATATAATAAGCGGAAGTCGAAGCAATAAAACCGATGGTCGTTTTGTTTACAGTTTCTCTGTTTGACTCTCAAGTATGCTGTTACGCCTGTCATCTTAAATTAAGAATGTTTATACATACACGATTTTCAGCTGCCTGGGATACGTATACGTGAGTAAATTGTTTCGTTATTGTATTGATTATTACAAATCAATATTCAAAACGACCCAATTCATTTTCCTGAAAATTTGAGAATATAATAATTTTATTCTTAGTATTACACTACATCTATCCCAAACTGATATACGTGTTCTTGCAAAAATGTTGATGACGTCATCGCAATTTTTTTTTAAATTCCCACTACAAAAATGTAATGAGAAAAAACACAATAGGCATGCAGTCGTCAAGTTTCCGACAGCGAGGGAAGTACTGTCTAAACTCTTTAGACCAATTTTTTATTAAAGCAATAATTACGATTGATCAGTTTATAGGGAATACATTTCTCTATGCCATAAAATAAAATCTCATAAAAGGTAGCAACTTTTTCGTCAAAGTTTTGACACACCAAACACGATTCCTAGCAAACAGATGCGTCAAAATGGTTTAAAAGTTCATAGTTACCATTAATAAAATCAAAAATACGAAAATTAGATTTCAAAGAAGGTGCAGATAAAGAGGAAAGAGACGAAGAATAAGGAGAATGATGACAACTACTAGTAAATATAGGATCTAATGCAGAGCAGACATCAAGATTATCAACGTTTGAAAATATAAGATCTAGGAATACATTTCTCATATTAGGAATTTTATTAATTTGTATCATATTCATTAGAACACATGTAGAACTAATTAAATCATATTCAAAAGAATTGTTGAAACCACAATCACCACCATCATTCCAATCAATATGTGCTAAATTAAAGTCACCAGCAATAACACACGACGACTCAGGAAAACGATCAAAAATTGATTCTATGTCTTGACAGAAGTTTACATAAGAAGTAAAATCACTTGCATGAGGGATATATACTCCACCGTCAATTAAGTTTAAATCATGATATTTCACATGGATGTAAATACTTTCGATAAAGTTTCCAAGAAGAATTACCGAAGATTCCAATTCCATTTTTACTGCTATCCGTATTCCACCTCCACGTATTTTAGTACTAGTATTAACACTTCGACCGACCCTAAATATATTATAGTTGTTTAAATTTAATTCAGAACTAGTAATGTTATCACTAAGCCAAGTTTCAGAAATAATAAGAACGTCATAAACACAAGAGTTAACCTTAATTGCGAAATCCTTTAATTTAAATCTTAATAATAATAATCCGATTTTAAAATTATAGCGTCTCATTTAAAACAATCATTGATCACATCATAACTTTTACAAATTTGACGTAATTTTTTTTTGACATATCAATAGCTTTTTATGAATTTTGTGCATTACTTTATTATAACCTGTATAACCTGAATTTCCAGGTTTTCATTATTTCCCCGACATTGAGATTTCACGAAGCAAAATGGGCTGTTTTCGATAATTAGCATATTTCACGAATTTTTTTCACCGAGAAAATAATAATCCGTGAATTTAAAACTACCTAGTTGGATTTTCTGTTGTACGCGTGCTACCTGCCTGAAAAAAATTAACAAGGTTTTATATTCGTCACGTTGCCACACAGCGACATCAGCACCATGAATAAGCCGTCGTAAAACCCCGCTCCCGCATCTTATTCTCATTATCAAATACTGTTTGCAGAATATTGACCTTTTTAATCAGACAGGGGAATCACAATATACGTAATATAAAGAGCTGCTCACATATTCGTGTTCAGTTTGAATTAACAGCCACAGTTCAAGATGTTGATTAAAATTCTGTGCTTGGCAGTTTTGCCTTACTTTGTGCAATGTAATTTCAGTGTATATGTTTTTAGTGGAAACTAATCGTTTTTTATAGGTGCCTGCCCTACAATTATTTCTAGGTCGCAATGGGGTGCCGCAGCTCCTAAACGAGTAATTCGTTTGAGACAAAATCCACCTCCTTTTGTTGTTGTTCATCATTCTGATACTCCGGTTTGTAATAGTGAATCCCAGTGCAAAACTAGAATTAAGAATATACAAAGCCAACACATGAAGAACAATGGCTGGGATGATATCGGCTACAACTTTGTGGTATGTGTAACAATTAAAACAAAGTTAAAAAGGTGATTTCATTTTTGGATGTTTTTATAGATTGGTGGTGACGGAAATGTATACGAGGGTCGTGGATGGGGCATTTTTGGTTCTCATGTACCAAGATATAATGGAAAAAGTATCGGTATTGTGCTGATTGGCAACTTTAATAGTAAGTTTTTTAAATACTATTGTAATAAGTGTTATTTTTATTGTAATTTTAGCTCAAAGACCCCCGCAGACGCAGTTGGATGCTCTGAAAAACCTTATTGCCTGTGCGAAAGAAAACAATTACGTGAAAGCAGATTATCATTTGATTGGTCATAGACAAGGAAAAGTAACAGAGTGTCCCGGAGATCAGTTGTTCAATGAAATTTCTAATTGGCCACAGTTTGATCCAAGTGTAAGGCCTTGATATTTTTTTATATTGTTATCGATTGTTACTGTTTTCAATAAAGGTGTATTTAATTGCATTTTTTTTTTGTTGCATTGTAAATACCGCAAAACAAAGTTTATCTGTCAATTAATAATAAATACAGATCAACTGTTTTGATATTGATATCTGTGAGACAAAGTTCAAGATTATTATTTTACAATATTGTACTATAAAAAAAGACAACTACGGACATGGACACACGGTAGAAGCATATGGAAAGGTACATACAAAAGAATTGACAATTCTTGGCGAAATTGAATAAGTCTGAAACGCCGATTTTGTATTATCAAAATCATAGCCCTTATCCAATCGTTTTAGTCGCTACTGGAACTAATTTTAGTAAGCCCTAGCAACTAAAAAGCCATGAACAGTAATCACAAAAATTACGGTGCTAGAGAACAAAATTGAGAATTTAAAGATATTTTTTTAATGTCTCTTGCTTATTAATCATGTCAAATTACCAATTAATATGTGTAGTCACCTTTTCACAACAAGAGACTTAACACATGGTTACAATGGTACATTTTTGCAAGAAAATATGGATTTTGCAATTTTGGAGCGGAGCCTAATTTCAAAATCGATATTTTCTTACACAAATTTTCCATTTTAAAAATGTTTTAAGTTTCATGTTGTGAAAAGAAGTCTACAGATATTAAAACAAAAAGGCAAAATATTAGACCGCCCACCCGCCCTATCTCAATTGTGATGATTTTTTTTATTCGTCGGGAAAGAAGGGGGCGGAGCTTAACTGTAAAATATTTATTTCTTTACAACAAATTAACAACATGTTTTTGAGTATCGTGTTGTTCAAACAATACTACATTGAAAATAAAAGACAAAATATAAACCCCGCCCACCCACCCCATCTCAATTGTGATATATTTTTTTAATTTTAGAAACTTAAAACACGTTCGAAATGGTAAATGTTTGTAAGGAAACATGGATTTTACACTTAGGCCTCACCTGTAGGTCTGTCAACGAATGAAAACTTCATTACTATTTAGATGAGGGCAGGTACGGGTGGCGCTTAATTTTTGAATACCAGGATACTCAAAAACATGTCTTACATGGTAATTTTTTTGTAGAGAAACAATAAGGATTTTGCAATTAAATTTCGCTACTTTGGCTCTCAACGCTTAAAAAAAAGATCACAATTGAGACCGGGCGGGTAGGCGGGGCTTATATTTTACTTTTTTTCTTAATATACCTAGTCCTCTTTTCAGACTAAAAAACTTAAAACATGTTTAAAATGGTAAATTCTTGTAGACAAATTAGGATCGTGCAAATAAGCTCCTCCCCTTGGTCTGACGTCGAATGAAAAATTCATCACAATTGAGCTTGGGATGGATATGGGTGGGGCCTAATTTTTGGCTTGTTTTTTTCTTAATATACATAGTACTCTTTGAACAACACGATACTCAAAAACATGTTCTTTGTTTCTTGTAAAGAAATAAGGATTTTGCAATTAAACTCACGAGGAATAAAAAAATCATCACAATTGAGACAGGGCGGGTGGGCGGGGCTCCATTTTGCCTTTTTTTCTTAATATGTGTAGACTTATTTCGACTACAAGAAACATGGTTACGATGGTACAGGCAATATCGATTTTGCAATTATGCAGACCTAGAGGCGGAGCCTAATTGTAAAATCGATATTTCCTTATACAAATTTTCCATTTTAAACATGTTTTCAGTTTCTTGTTGAGAAAAGAAGTCTACACATATTAAAACAAAAATACAAAATATATGCCCGCCCACCCGCCCTGTCTCAATTGTGATGATTTTTTTTATTCGCTGTGAACAAAGGGGGCGGAGCTTATTATTATAAATACTTATTTCTTTACAAGAAATTAAAAACATATTTTTGAGTATCGTCTTCTTCAAACAATACCATGTAATGCCATGTATATTAAGAAAAAAAGGCAAAATATAAACCCTGCCCGACCACCTCATCTTAATTATGATATATTTTTTTATTCTTAGAAACTTAAACGTTTAAAATGGTAAATCTTCGTAAAGAAATATGGATTTTGCAATTAGGCTCCACCTCTAGCTCTGCCAACGAATGAAAACTCGATCAGGGCAGGTATGGGTGAGGCTCAGTCTTTAGTTTTAATTTTTTGTTAATATACATAGCATTCTTTCAATAACACGATACTCAAAAACATGTCCTACATGGTAATTTCTTGTAGAGAAATAATAACGATTTTGCAATTAAATTCTGCTTCTTTGGCTCTCTAGACAATTGAGATAGGGAGGATGGGCGGGGCTAATATTTTATCTTTTTTCTTAATATACGTAGTCGTCTTTTCACAACAAGAAACTTAAAACATGGTCAAAATGGTAAATTCTTGTAGACAAATATGGATCTTGGAATTAAGTCCCGCCCCTCGATCTGACAACGAATGAAAAATTCATCACAATTGAGAATTGGGAACAGGGCGGGTATGGGTGGGGTCTAATTTTTGGCTTTATTTTTTCGTAATAAACATATTTACATTGTTTTCTTTGAACAACGCGATACCCAAAAATATGTTCTTAATTTCTTGTAGATAAATAAGGATTTTACAGTTAAGTTCCGCCCCCTTGGCTAACGACGAATAAAAAAAAATCATCACAACTGAGATAGGGTACAATATTAAGACTAATATTGCGATTCTCCGGGTAACGACAATTGGAAAATTTGGCTAATCCTCCACAGCAACAATTTTATTGTTAAACAAAGAAAATATTCATGAAAATAGATACAACTGGAGCGCACTCACGTTTCCGTCGTTGTCCGAGAAACACAGAAAAATCAGTTGACTAAACACCATTTTAATTTTATAAAATAACATACTCCTATACTTGTGCTTTATGAAGCCGCCTCAATTTTTTTACCCTAGGCATCCAGATTTTTGTAAAAATTTCCAGATTCCATCATTACATTTGATATGCGTGAAAAAGCTCTGACATGTGGTGAACTGTGTCGTCAAATCAAAAACAATTAATCCAATTTTCACAAAAATTTGTGAATATAGTCACTTTGCGCATTACTTTTGTTGTAGAAGCTGCCTAGAAACTTTTTACTGTATCTCATTTTCAACAAAAAAAGTCGACAATGTATCTAATACGTTTTCTAGAGTTTTGTAAGCTGAAAATAGTGATGGAAACCATGTTTCAAAATTACATGAAAATAAACTGGCTTTAAAAAAATTATTTAATAAAAGTTGTGGACTGGCTATATTTAAAATTTCATAACAATAAGTTTGTTAATAATGGCGTGGGGACTCCTCTTAATAATAATACAATATCAATTATAATCATGAAAGCTACTTACCCAGAAAGTTTTGGCCCATTTTAACTTAATTAATAAATTTAGTCGCATCCTCTGTTTTGAGGAGGTAGTGCTACGTGCTTAATCGTCGCATTCTTTCGACGTATAAACAATCGAAGTTAAGCATGTAAGTACTGATAATATAATTTTTCCCGTTGGTTATTTGCTTTTAATATGTGTATTTGACATATTCAGTGTCTATGCAGGGTTACAGGGGTAAACTGTGAACAGCGATTTACATGTGACAATCATATAGAGTGGGTGCACAAAAACCTTCTAGTTATAGTTCCGACTTTAATAGATTCGGTACACAAAAAAAATGTGATTATTGTGAGTAAATAAAATACTTTGGGGTAATGGTGGCCATTTGTCCCAATAGCCCCAAAACACTGAGGTAATAAGGGCCACCGTATATTTTTTAGTTTTGTAAATTTATATTTAGTGTTTTTTTTTTAACTAATGAGCAAAATGGCTTAGGAAGGCCACATTTCGTTTATTGATTGGACCATCTGATGGATCTAACTTGAATTTTTGTAGTAATACGTATAATTGTATTTTTTCATCTTTGAATTCAATATTATATGTAGTTAATTTAACTTAATTTTTTTAAATAAATACATATTTAGGACATAAAGCGAAAATTCAAAATTTTGGCAACACGACGACCATGCGTCTTTAATCGTTGATAAAAGAGAGCAGGAGAGTAAACAGATTAACTGGTATTTTTCCACTGTAATAAATTAACAAAATAAACATTAATCAGTAAAAATAGAACTTATCAGGTTAGATCACGTTCAGATTCAATCTAAAAAAAAACGAGTTTGCTTATCGCGTTGTATTGTTCGATCTGTACTACACAATTTGTTTTGATGATTCATAGTTTTTTATTTGCGATTTGTTATTATTAGAACCCGGACAGGGGCTAATCACCAGTGACCCAACCACAAGGCTACTCACTCCTGTCCGTTCTCTACTTATTATAACAATATTCAATTTGATGGGTTCTGTGCTAATGAAACTTGACAAAAAATACGTACAACACTGATTTTTCTTGGCAGGTGTTAAGAACAAACCTCTTATTTTACTTAGAAGGTCTAAATTAAAAAAAATACAAATTTTTATAGTAGCATTTTATTCTTCAAAACATTCATTATCGTATTGTGATTCTTTCCTTACTTCTGATTTAACAGCCCACGATTGTACTTCTCCCGAAGCAAAAATACCATATACGATACTTCCAAACACAAATATACCACTTGCTATACAAAAAACAATCTGCCATTCATGAGGAGACTGAAAAAACAACTTATAGTGCCTGTTCCTCAGAATCGTATCGTTATAAATTACTTTTGTAGTAACAATATAGCCTGTTAGTATGGGACTGCATATTCCCGCCATGGTAGCAAAAGTGTTACTTAAACCCATTATAACACTAGCATGTTGGGGTGCAATATCAAGGTAGTTTACTCTGTAACGATTAACTGTAAAACGTACTACTTCAAAAATTTTGTCACGTACCCAAATCCTGACCAAGAACACACCCCTAACCCAACAGCTACAACCAAACAAACGACAGTTCCAGCCGGCGAATCCAAATAAACAGCAGCCACCATGAAAATCGCATGAATTATAAATGCGCCACAATTGAAGATTTTTCGAACTTGTGTTGTAGTCAGTATTTTTCTTTCACGAAGCCAATCAGCCAATTGTCCAGAGAACTGGATCATAATCGCCATCGCTAAATAAGGTAGTCCAGAAAGGAATCCAGTTTTTTCGAGGTTGTAACTGAACATATCTAAAACAAAATTCTGCATTTTTTGACCTAATTCATTAGACTAACCTTTCATAAATGTAGGCAGTTGGGTCAAAAGGGTGTAGAAGCCCCAGTTGTCCGTAAAGTGGGACACCACGATAGCCCAAACCGGAGGAGACGTCAAAATTGCTTTCCAAGGGTGATTTATTTTTCGTTTTGCTTCAACATTTCCCAAAGACTGTCGGATATATTCTAGCTCTGCTTTAGAAATTCTAGGGTCGTCAGCTGGAGATTCGCTGACCAGCCACCACCAAAACACAAACCAAACTAGCGCTATAGCACCAAAGAAGTAAAAGATGCTGGACCAACCCAAAGCTGTAGCTAAGGAGGCACTAGCTGGCATTGACACAACTGTGCCTACGTAACTACCCGAGAAAGCAATGGTGGCCAATTTTGTTCGTTCTAGAGGTGGTGCCCATCTGGACCATACCGCATGGATACAGGGATAAGTTACCCCTTCAAACACTCCCTCTATTATTCGGATAGTTAGTAGAAGGTTTACACTTGTTCTGGCTAACACTGGGGTCAGTAAGGTTAAAAGTCCGGTAACACCAATTCCTATTCCAAAGACTCGTTTGCCTCCGACTTTAGCAGAAATCCATCCCCCAAGTAACTGGGTGGTAATGTACCCGTAGAAAAATGAACTAAGTACAAGACCCTGGATTTTGGAGTCCCAGTCGAATTCTGGTCCCTAAACAGTTTCTGTGTAGACGATAGTTATGGAGTTATTACACTTACATATATGATGGTACCGTTGTCCAGAGTTATAGTTTGATTTTCAGTCATGGCCACAATAGCAATACTTAGGTTTGCTCTTAGGGCATAAACGTTGAAAAATCCAAGAAAGGCAAGGCTTGCTACGACATACCTTCGCTTCTTCCAAAACATCCATTTTGGGTGATCACTGTTAAAAAAACTATATATTAATCGGAAACCTTTACCGAGTCGATACTAGTTAATGAAACTAAAAACAGATTACAAAAAAATTAATAAAATGTTCAGTACTTACCTCACTTCTTGAACTACCTGCTGATTGTCTCCTAGTTGTGTCATGTCGTTAGTGAGATCTTATTTCACAATGTCACAGGATAGGAAAAATAATAATAAACGGGGATTTTCTCGTAATCCACACACTTACAGTATGCTTAACTAAATAAAATAAAATGCATACTATATATAACTAACTATAATCTAATGAATAACTTACATACATTGTTCGATACCTATTATCTACTAAATTTAATAAATGTGGTTATATCTTTGATATTTTGGCAGTTGGGTAAACAAATTTAAACAACGTATTAGATTTGATTGTTTATCTGTGTCTAACGGACTTAAAGCATTACAGGACTGCTTTTCGAGGTGACATATAGTCATCATACAGTCAACATTATTATAAATTACAATAAACGTAGATATTTATACCTCAAAAACAGACGTCAAATTTATCTAATCATCCCCACCACTAATGCGATGACGTCACTTCAAAATTGTACATAGTAAATGGGTCTTAAATTGTATAAAATAACATAGTCCTACACATGTAGTTTACGACCCCGAATTGAGTTTTTACCCGAAACGTCCAGATTTTTGGAAAAAAAATCAAAATCATAAAACAACATTTTGCAATTTAATTTTGAATCTGCTAACCCGAATGTTTTGAAATGTTGCAGATGTTTTAAGGCTCTAAAGAGCATCATAAATCTTTAGTCAAAATATATTTGGTTATCCCCTCCAAAAACTTGATGACGTCAGCTCAAAAGTTTGCCGAATAAATCCTATCTAAAATGTACAAAATATGATGCATCTGTACTTGTGATATATCACTCCATTCATATTTTTTGGATTTGCATATACCGGGTGACTCAAAAAAATTAATGAATGCGCAAAATTTATTTTACTGATTTACTCAGGAACTACAAAACCGAATGCTTTGATATCTTGAAGATGTTTTAAAATTATCATAAGCATGGTAAATTTTTGATCACAATGTATTTGGTCGTCCCTCCTAAAAAATTTATGACGTCACCACAAAATTTTGCTGAATAAATCCTATCTAAAATGTACAAAATATGGTGAGTCTCTTCTTGTGATTTATCATTACATTCAAATTTTTTCGATTTCCATATACAAGGTGACTGAAAAAAATTAATGAATGCGTCAATTTATTTTATTGATTTAATCAGGAATTACAGAATCGAATGCTTTGAAACCTTGGAGATGTTTTAAAGTTACCATAAGCATGGTAAAATTTTTATCAAAATGTATTTGCTCTTATCCCCTAAAAAATTGATGACGTCACTCCAAAATTTTGCTGAATAAATCCTATCTAAAATGTGAAAAATATGATGAGTCTGTACTTGTGATTTACCATTCCGATCATATTTTTTGGATTTGCATATACAGGGTGACTCAAAAAAATTAATGAACGCGTCAATTTATTTTTTTTGATTTAATCAGGAATTACCGAACCGAATGCTGTGAAATCTTGGAGATATTTTAAAGTTATCATAAGCATGGGAAATTTTTTATCAAAATTTATTTGCTCATCCCCCCCTAAAAAAATTGATGACGTCACCCTAAAATTTGGTCAATAAATCCTTTCTAAAATGTGAAAAATATGATGAGTCTGTACTTGTGATTTATCATTCCATTCATATTTTTTCGATTTGCATATGACTGAAAAAAATTAATGAATGCGTCAATTGATTTTATTGATTTAATGAGGAATTACAGAACCGAATGCTTTGAAATCTTGGAGATGTTTTAAAGTTACCATAAGCATGGTAAATTTTTTATCAAAATGTATTTGCTCATCCCCCCTAAAAAATTGATGACGTCACCCCAAAATTTTGCTGAATAAATCCTATCTAAAATGTACAAAATATGATGAGTCTGTACTTGTGATTTATCATTCCATTCATATTTTGGGATTTGCATATGCAGGGTGACTCAAAAAAATTAATGAATGCGTGAATTTATTTTATCGATTTAATCAGGAATTACAAAACTGAATGCTTTGAAATCTTGGAGATATTTTAAAGTTATTATAAGCATGGTAAACTTTTGTTCAAAATGTATTTGTTCATCCCTCCTAAAAAAATTGATGACGTCAACCTTAAATTTTGCTGAATAAATCCTATCTCAAATTCAATAAAGATGATGAGTTTGTACTTGTGATTTATCATTCCATTCATATTTTTTAGATTTTCTTAAGAGGTGGCTCAAAAAAATTAATGAAGTCAATTTATTTTATTGATTAAATTAAAGGCAACACTTATTATTAGTATTACATTGGACCAACCCAATTTGGTAGACACAAAATTTTTTAAAGTAAAAACTCGGTTGAAACATAAGGGTAACACGCTTATTTACATCTACTTTAACATTACAGACATGCATTTGTTTTGTGCGCTGACTAGGTTCCGCGAATGTGGTATAGACATGTTTATAATCAACCAATTGTGAATTCCACCGTCTAAAATTAAAATAAAACCCAATGTTTTATATAATAAGCAGAAGTCGAAGCAATAAAACCGATGGTCGTTTTGTTTACAGTTTCTCTATTTGACTCTCACGTATGCTGTTACGCTTGTCATCTTAAATTAAGAATGTTTATACATAAACGATTTTCAGTTCCTTCTCATATTACACGCCGGCGCCGTATACGTGAGTAAATTGTTTCGTTATTTTATTGATTATAACAAATCAATATTCAAAACGCCCCAATTCATTTTCCCGAAGATTTGGGAATACAATAATTTTATTCTTAGTATTACACTACATCTATCCCAACTGATATACGTGTCCTTGCAAAAATGTTGATGACGTCATCGCAATTTTGTTTAAATTCCCACTACAAAAATGTAATGAGAAAAAAAACACAATAGGCATGCAGTCGTCAAGTTTCCTACAGCGAGGGAAGTACTGTCTAAACTCTTTAAACCAATTTTTTTTTTAGAAAAATGATTCATAACAACACTAGTGTCGTTATGAAAATTCATAACAGTACTAGTAATGTAAAGTATGCGTTAACGTAACTCGTTGTTAACGTGTTATCGGTATAGTTACAATATAGGATAAAATAAAAACAGTTATTTTTAAATTTTGTACATATATATCTGGGGTGAACGTGTATGTAGAACGAGCTAGATCTTGAAATCAGGCGCGGATCCAGGGGGGGGGGCAATTGCACCCATTGCCCCCCCCTGACACACGACCGAGGTACTTTATTTTGACCAATTTCAAAATTTTGAAATCGCATTTCATTTTGTAAATACAGTAGCTACAACCTCTATAATCCGAATTCACGATTATCCGAACATCCAGTAATCCGAACACAGGCTATTTGAAGTCGATGCTTCTTCTGAACTTGGAAACACGCACCTACTTGCACATCTTTGAAATTTTTAAAAATTGATATATTTCAATGCACTGAATTAATTATCTAATTCTGGAAAAAAGGTTGAAGTTACTGAATAAATGAGGTCCGAAATCTACAAGAAAAGATATTTAGGTAAAATCGTCGAAAGTGGGTCGAAATTTGCATGAGGAACATTTCACTTTTGAAAAAATTTCCTAAAAATTCTGAAAAAATTCAGGGATACGTATATCCCGACGTGCTGATTCCTAATATATAGCATGTTAATGGTAACCAAGCAATATTTTCGAAAATTCGGTGTGAAATTCGAATTTTTCGAAATTTTAAAAAATTGCCACAAGTATTTCAACTGGACGAATCTGGAAAAAAGGTTTAAGTTATCGAAGAAATGAAGCCAGAAGTGACTTCTGAGGTCCAAAATCTACAAGAAAATATATGTAGTTAAATTTCGCAAATCGTCGAGAATAGATAATGGAAAATTACATTTTTGAAAAATTCTGAAGTAATTCTGAAAAAATTCAGGGTATAGATTCCAGCGTGTTGATTCCAAAAAGATAGCGTGTTTATGGTCACGGAGTAATATTTTTTTAGAATGTATCTATTATCCATTGTTGCTTAAGAATTCTTTAATTTTGTTTAATAAAATTAAGGTTTATTTCTTGAAGGTTGTTTTCAACTGTATATGAAGTTGTTATTCAATTTCCTTTCAGATTTTTGGGAAAATCGCTGATCCGAACAAATCGTTAATCCGAACACACCTTTTTCCCAATTAATTCGGATTATCGAGGTTCTACTGTACAGTATACGTGTAACGAAAACAACCAAATGTCACCCATATTATGTGAAAAAGAGTATACTAGTTAAAATTTTATAATTTTTTTTGTTTAGAACGCATTTCTGGGAGATAAAATACTACAAAAATTGCCCCCCCTAAACGAAATCCTGTATCCGCGCCTGCTTGAAATGCACTGTTTAACAATCGAAATTTTTGTTAATTAAACAGATAAAATAATGTTGTAACTGTTGTCTCCAAATTTAATTGTGTTAATGGATTACGAAACACTTAATATAACGAGATTTGTAACAAACAACATCAATGGCCCATTCTTTAATTTCAGAGAACTAAAAATTGTTTGTCGTATCAACTGATCTTGTTGATAAATATTTACTTTAGTGTTTGATAACATTCTTTTCCCTCTCTTAACCTTTGTTTGAACGCAGTTTTTTTCTATCTCTACTGTTGTTTTTTCCTCTAGATTTTTGACATTTCCAATTATTTTCAGTTAGTTTTGATGACTTGTCCGCCGTAGAAAAAATGTCAATGTTTTTGCACCTTTTGATGACGTCGTGGGTACCCGGGTACCCTAAGTGATTTTACATGTGATAACAGCTATAAAATATAAAAAAAAAACTAAGAGGTTTTCAAGTATTTGAAATGATAGCAAAGTGTACATAACTCTAAGATAAAACATTTATTTGGAAATTTAACAATAAACTAAACAATTTTGTGTTCCTCATTGACACATCTATCACATACAGCCTTGTTCAGGCAATGTTCATTGCAAACAGGATTTTTGCAAATATCACATCTTTCCCTTGTCTTTCTACGCCATTGGCTCAATTGTGAGCAAAGAAAAGAGCTGCCAACAACACAAATACGTCCAGAGGCATCACGTTTTTGTTGGCTTTCGTCTGCTGCAAAAACTTGTGTTATTGGTCGATCAAGAACCTTTTTTTGGCCAGATCCTCGGCTTTGTCCAGCTTCACATTCAACAATAACAAAGAAAAACTAAAATATCTCGACGCACTATGCAGCAGGTCTGCATACTGTAACAACAACCGTACAAATGATTCTCACTGAAACGTGGCTTACTGATTCTGTGGCTAATTCAGAATTTTGTCCTGACAATTTTGAGATATACAGATCTGATCGTAAATTTAATAAAACTACTCTTACCAGAGGTGGTGGGGTTCTGATAGCAATGCGCAAATATTTCTCTGTTTT